GATTTTCCTCATCCCACCAAGTTTCAGAAATACCCACAATGTCTATTTTTCCCTCCGACACCAAGCACTCCAACTCCCCGATTTTACCTCGGACACTTCTAGCATTTGTATAGAAACAGCTGTAATTTCCCTTACAAGTTAAGCCTGCATCCTTCCTCTTGCTATCTCGAGTCGTTGTCCGGCAGTCCATGTCACCAGCCATGGCCTCTGTGGACAATTTCAATCCACCTCCCTGTAGAAAAGCAACCGGTACCCCCTCACCTCTCTCAGATGAGCCAACCCGAACCAGAGACTTTTCATCTCCTGTCGGCTTTCCCCCAATATTCAGTTTAAAAGCTGCTCTGCCACCTTTTTGATTTTAAGTGCCAGCAGCCTGGTTCCTTCTCGGGACAAGTGGAGACCGTCTCGCCTGTACAGCTCCCTCTTGTTCCAAAAAGTATCCCAGTGCCTAACAAACCTGAACCCTTCCCCCCTACACCATCGTCTCATCCACGCATTGAGACTCCTGATCTCTGCCTGTCTCTCCGGCCCTGCGCGTGGAACAGGTAACACTTCTGAGAAGGCTACCTTGGAGGTCCTGGACCTAAGTTTCCTGCCCAGCAGCCTAAATTTCTCCTCCAGGACCTCACGACTGCATTTCCCCACATCGTTGGTGCCGACATGCACCACGACCACTGGCTCCTCCCCAGCACTATCTACCAGCCTATCTAAAACACGCGTAATGTCCGCTACCTTCGCACCAGGCAGGCAAGTCACCATACGGTCAGTACGCGGGTTCGCCACCCAGCTGTCTACCTGCCTAAGGATCGAATCACCCACTACCAAGAGCCCCCCTCCCACCCTGCTCAGGGATGGTTCCTTGGTGCAAAAGGAGAGCCGCTCACCAGCTGGGGAAGAGGTCCCTTCTGAGGGCACATTCCCCTTATCCTCAGCATGGTGCCCTGTTTCCCCTAGACCCTCATGCTCCCTGACAGCAGCGGGGCTGCCAGATCCAGAGTGGGACGAAGCTAACAAGTCCCCGAGAGTCTTTTCTGTGTGCCTAGCTGACTGTCTCTGCTTCTCCAGGTCAGCCACCTTGGCCTCAAGGGAGCACACACGTTCCCTGAGAACCAGGAGCTCCTTGCACCGAGGACACACCCAAGACTTCTGCCCAGTGGGCAGATAGTCATACATGTGACACTCCGTGCAAAACACTGGATAGCCCCCAACCCCCTGCTGGCATTCTGGCTTCATAATTCTTTTAAAATAAATAAATATAATCCCCCTTTTAAACCCTTGGTATTTATGTGGGTTTTGTTATCAAGTCAAATTATTTTACGGGAAAGACAAAGAGCCTAGGGCCTTGTCTTTCTGGCTCTTTTTGGGCTTCTTACAGCGCCCCTAGTCTAAGAGTCCCTAGGCTAAGAGCCACAGGCAAAGAGCCCTTTAGCTCACCCTTCGGCTCGTGCCAGAGGCTCGTGCCTCTGCCAAGGTGCTTCCTTAAATAGAGGCCTCCCCCAGCAGAGGTCAGGCAGCAGCTATTCAAATTCAAATTCACCCAGGCACTCAATCACAGGCAAAACAATGCCCCTTCCACTTCCTCTCAATTACAGGCAATCCCAGTCAAACAATGCCCGTTCCTCTCCCACACTCAATCAGCCAGGACTCTGCAAGAACTCTAAGTGCTTCCACACACTGCTAAACACAGTTTTCCCACAAAATATCCTTAGCTGAATTCTCTCAGCTGAAAGCAAGTAAAAGAAACCCACTCACCTCTCTCACAGCTCTCTCTCCTGCTCTTGCTCAGAGCTCAGCTGGTCTCCTCTGCCTCTGGCAAGGTGCTTCCTTAAATAGAGGCCTCCCCCAGCAGAGGTCAGGCAGCAGCTCTCTCACAGCTCTCTCTCCTGCTCCTGCTCAGAGCTCAGTTGGTCTCCCAACTATTCACAAGGAGATAACATGTTTCGTTTTTCCACTTTGGCCTGGTTTCACAGTTGAAGGATCCCCTTCTCTTGGGTTAGTGATTGCTCTAGAAAATAAAGAAGACAAAATGTTCTTGGTTGGTCTTTCTGGGGGATTGCTTTTAATTGACCAAACCACATGAGGATGGAAATTAAGCCACTTTTTTGACCCATGTCTCAGTCTGATCCAAATCAAGACCCTCTGCAGGTACTATTTGCTTTAAAAAGATGAGGGGAAGATCTTGCTCTCCAGACTTCTTATCTAAGCCTTTCTCAGTTTTTGCGCTTTTGGTGCTCCAATCTCAGTTGCCATTTTTGTGTGATTGGGCAACGTGCTCGTTTTCGGTACGTGCAAATATGTACCCTCAGAACTCTGCGTTGGTTGTGTGTGTATCAAAGTTGGAGAATAAGTGGTTTGCGCTATTCACATAAAATGGCAATGGCACATGTTAAGAGGATTGCAAATACACATGTTTGGATTGCCAGAATCATAATGGCTGAAAGGATTCTGGTGAGATCCTGAGATGGTGCCACAAAAAAAAAAAGTAGTAATACATAAAATTGGAAACAAAACTTTTCAGCTGTCTCATAAAGATGATTCAAGTAAGATTCAAAGAATTCATGTCACTGCCTTTGGATTAATTCTGGTTGTCACCAAGCTCACAGAGGGGTAAAAAATGAGAAAGGGGTTAATGTATTTATGTGTCTTTCTGCTTACTTTGTGTACCATAACAGATGTGGGAACAGGAGCAGCTTTCTCACTGGTTTCTAAAGAGGACGGAAAATGTTAATACTAGTAACTATTGCTATTGTTCCGTTTCTCCCCCCCCCCCAGTACAGACATTGTTATGTATCCCTTGAATCATGATTTTTAATGCTAATGGTTGTTTTTCTGAAGCACTGTTAATTATCTACAATCAAAATATTTCTTGGCAGGGCTTTTTGGGTAGAAAAAGTCCAGCAGGAACTCATTAGCATAATAGGCCACACCCAGCAGCAGAAGCTCATTAGCGTATTAGGCCACACCCCCTAACTGCGCCGCTCATTGGCCTATTAGGCCGTATTCCCATGTTACCAGAAGTGTGGTCATCCAGCCACACCCACCTTTTGCTTCTTATTCTGTTTACCTTGTTTGTTGTCAAAACCCAGGGCCTTTTTTTGTAGCAGGAACTCCTTTGCATGTTAGGCCACACACCCCTAATGTAGCCAGTCCTAATGAGTTCCTGCTGTTGGGTGTGGCCTATTATGCTAATGAGTTCCTGCTGGGCGTGGCCAACTTGGGAGCCAGCCGGAACTCCGTTCCTGTGCGTTCCGCCCCCAAAATAGCCCTGTTTCTTGGGGGAAAGATGTTTCTTGAGGGAAAAGATGTTTCTTGCTGACGGGAAGTTGGAGGCTCTGCTTTCTGTATCTGAAGTTGTAAGCTGCTGCTCATAGCTAGAGATGCAGAATGGCAGGGTGCCTACAGATGTTCATTTGGATGCACATCGGCCAATGCCTTCCCGTTCTCAGATGAAGTGGCCTATTCCTCTCTGTTTGTCGATCTGTATTAGAATGGGATCATTGTGCATTTTTGGCATGTGTTACTATTTACACCTACTGGGATTGACTGTCTCTAGATCAGAATCAATACCTTTAAAAATAGTGAATGTGGTTCTAGACAAGGTTGTCCCCAACCTTTTTGTGCCTGCGGACACCTTTGGGAGTCTGACGCACTGCAGTGGACGCAGCCACAAAATGGCTGTTGCAGGAGGCAGAGCCAGCCACAAAATGGCCGCCAAAGCTTCCCTTCAGTCACACAGTGGAGAGAAGACTGTGCTGTGGAGGCAGCCCCTGCCAAATTAATGTCTTTTTTAAAAAATGTGCACAGGCAGTCAGTTCTCCAAAGAAGCCTGTCTGAGCAGAAGCTTAAACCGTCCGTGCCCATTTTCTAAAAGCACGTGGCTGGCGCCAGGAAAGTTCTTGGTGGGCTCCCATCGGTGGGCTCCCGTGGGCACCACATTGGGAGCCTCTTTTCTAGACAGTAAAACAGTAAAAAGATGCCGATCGTCAGTTAGTTTTGAATAATTCTGCCGATGCGATCTGGCTTCAAGTCAGAGTCCAATTAGACCCTGATTTAATTCCTCTCCTCCCCGCCCCCCATGCTTAGTGACTGGTACTATGTGAAGAAAGTAACAAGGTCTGAAGAGTGGTGGCGATCACGCACTCTTTCACACAATAAATGTTCATGCCTTACCATTATGTGAAACCAGGGGGTTTTTTGTAGAAAAAGTCCAGCAGGAACTCATTAGCATAATAGGCCACACCCAGCAGCAGGAACTCATTAGCATATTAGGCCACACCCCTGATTGCACCATTTGTTAGAATATTAGGCCGCACCCCCATGTTACCAGAAGTGTGGTCATCCAGCCACGCCCACCTTTTGCTTCTTATTCTGTTTACCTTGTTTGTTGTCAAAACCCAGGGCCTTTTTTTGTAGCAGGAACTCCTTTGCATGTTAGGCCACACACCCCTAATGTAGACAATCCTAATGAGTTTCTGCTGTTGGGTGTGGCCTATTATGCTAATGAGTTCCTGCTGGGCGTGGCCAACTCGGGAGCCAGCCGGAACTCCGTTCCTGTGCGTTCCTGCCCAAAAATAGCCCTGTGTGAAACCAGTAGTGCTTTTAGAAGGATGCTGATTGGTTATACAACTCCAGTGACTTCTCTGAAATTGTACTCGGTATGCACAGTGCCCTTGATCTCTCTTACTGTGTCGCTTTGTGCGAGAATGAGAACCTGCATCCTCAAGGGTGCCGAACAGCAACGATGCTGCTATATCTTTAACACAGCCTGCCAAAAGCTGATAACCGGCGAGCTTTTTCAGACTGCTGATGTGCTGATGTGTTCCTTTGTGTTCCCTGTTATTGATACTGGTTTCTTCTCTTTTCCCCCCCTTCTTTATACAATCCTTTTTGCATTAATTCCTCATACTAATGTTGCCCTGTTGTGCACATCCCAACTCTCCATAATGACGGATCCCAAACACTCAATGCTCTTTGTTGGGTTTTGATCCTATGACTCACAGTGAATCTCCATTGGCGTAAGTAGACTTATATTTCCCACTCCATAGAATGAAAGAAGTGCATAGGATAAGCCTATCTTATAAATATATACGGTTCACTTCTTTCAGGTTTTAGAGGCATTTTAGCACGTAACAGCACTGCACTAACAGTGTGATTCTAAGCCGTTTACACCCTTCAATGGATTTAGAAGGGCGTAACTCTGTTTAGGATCGCAGTGTAAATGACCCAGCGCGTTTTGAAGCGTAACTTCAAAAAAAACATTTCACTGCTGATTATGTGGAATTTTAATCACCTAGTGGATATTTACTAGGTCAACCTGTGTCTGCGCATGTCCACTTTCCCACCATGCCAAGTCTCTAGCTAGCCTAGTAAATATTCAGACTGGGTCGATATTTTGTTCAAAATTCCTTAACTGCATTTATTCAAACAGTTGGTTTAGCGACTCTTTTCCCATGACAGAATGATGTAAAAAGAGAAAGACCTCATTTGCTCCAGGAAAGTCTAGATGCATTAAAGGTGAAATTACACCACTTCAAAAGGCGTTGAAAAGTGGATAATCATTTGGGAAATAATCAGTGACTTATCTTTCTGCATGGAGCAATTTGAGTACACTGTTTCTTCCCAAAGCCATGCCCATGGAAATGTCTCAGTAGCAAACTATTATTTTTTAAAAATGCCTTTCGCATATAATCAGACAGTTCCTACATGTTTAGCATTTTGACTTTGAGACAGGAGTGCTGAGCTGTGTGCTGTGAAGTGCTCTCTAAATGTGCTCTGTTTAAAGCCACCTTCTCTCTGCACAGCTTTTCCCCATCTGTTGAGCTTCCTAATTTCTTACTTCTCAAAATATTTGTTTCGCACAATAGAATTCATTCTGTGCTCTATATGTAACGTGTTTCGGATAGATCTCTGTAATCTCATTGACAAGATTATATTGGTTTGCTTGGGCAAAGTGGTTTTTCATATGTGAAATACTGACTTTGCCGAAATACTGGTTTTTACCCTGTATACGCTACATTTTTCTGGTTCCTATCTGCTACATTTTTAAAAATGGAGACAGCCAAGTTTACTTGCAGGTGTTAAATTTCAGAGATTAGTCCTCAGTACAGGATTTCTCTCCATATATATTTTTTTTAATTTGGTTCAGTTCTGTATTAGTTGGTGAGAATTAAATTGTATTGGTTGGTGAGAATGAAATTGCATACCGGCTATTATGTAAATGGGGAAGAGATAGCTTCGTAGCTATAGCTCATGTTGTTTCTTATTTTCTTACTTATTTACTTCATGTATAGTCTGTCTTTTTTACCATGGCACAAGGTGAATTACAGAATTAGCAAATGATTAATTAAAATAGCATAATACATACAACAAGCGATGCAATAAAACTGGATTACGGAAGTAGAAAACAATGCAATAAAAACGATAATACATTAAGTAAATATGCAATTAAATATGTCTTTATTTTATTTATTTATTTATTTATTATTCACATTTTTATCCCGCCCTCCCCGAAGGCTCAGGGCGGCTTACAGGGCATATTGCCAGATAAAACCATAAAACAATACAAAATATTAAATTACAGCCCTATTTAAAACAGATTTTGATGCCTAGCAAATTATACAATCTGTACAAATTCTAAAATTTCTAAAAGCAAGATGACTATCCCTGACCATCCCGTTCTCGCCCATAATGCAGCAACTAGATGTGCATGCCCCATCTTGATGTCCATATATGGGGGATAGATGGTAGCTAGTGCGATGGTGGTGCACTAGTGCACTAATGATGGACTGCTGGCGCTCTTCATTGTTTTTTCTGTTTAACCCACTGCAGTAAGATATCAAAGATCAAGTTAGCGGGAAGTGTTCTTTTTAAATACCTGCTGTGAACATTTCATTTCAATCAAATCAAAGTTTTTGTCATTTCTGTTGCATTTCCGCCCCAGTCTAATTCAACCATCCCCATAGGACTGTACTTCGCAAATGCACACGACAGTTTTAAATTTTTGAATGATTAACGTGAATTCACTAGAAAGGCCAAGAAGGTTTACCCAGACTTTTAATATAATTAATAAGAGCCATCATTGTCATGACGTGTCAGGAAAACAGTTATACAATTAGCATTTAATACAAGTCATCGACCTTTGCTGATGTTCTAACTTGAGAGACGAAATTCTGAATACCTTACTCAGATTTAATTCTGCCTTTTTGTCGTGAGGTCAGGAAAGATTTTTTTTTAAAAAAGTACTTCTTCATACGACATGATCATTGTGTTGTTAGTATCAGGTCATAGCCAGATGAACCCTAGTCTGATCCAGCAAAGCCACTGAGAATTCCATTGGTGGTAAACAGGAATCTTGGACTAAACGGATTCTTCTTCCAACAAGTTTGAATGCTGATTTTTTTTTTACTCCAATCTTTGTTGCTTTTTATGTGTGTTGGATTTTTTTTTAATTATGTAGATTGTAGAGTTCTTGAGTATGCTAAGTTGAGCTGCCCACCTCAGACTGGAATGTGCCCAATCAAATTTCTGGGGTGCATGCACACTTCGAGAGAAGTCAGTCCATATGCATTATAGTAACAGAATGAATTTATAAGTAGCAGCCAATTTATTACCTGTGATTTGTATATATGTGACACAGGCAAGTCGATTTCTTGGGAATGGGACTGGCCAATTGCTGTTTCTATGCATGACACAGCGGTGTCATTACAGGCAAATACGGCAGCCATAAATATGGAGACTTTTTTGTTTAGTCACATCAATATATTTTTAAAATTGATAAAATTATAGAATGGAAACCAACAGATACGTGATTTCAGAGTTCCAACATATAATCCAAATATACCAATAGATCGACCACAAAATGGTCACGGAAAATGCCTGATAACACGTAGGTATTTTGAAGTCTTTGTCTAGTGGAATCTGTACAGGCTGTTCAGCTTCCTCTATTTTAACAGCTTAGATTTTTGTCCAGAGGCACCAAGATTTTTTTGGATAAGAACTTTTGAAAGTCAAGGATCCCTCTGTGAGATATGCCAATCGTGTCGGTTTCTCAGGTACTACTGGACTCGAATCTAGGTGTTTTAACTGCAGACCAACACAGCTACCCTCTGGAACTCTTTTTTTTTTAATAGGCTCTTTTCTGTTTATCATTTTAATCTGGAAATCCTTCATGATATAAGAGGAAAGCCATTCGAGTTAGAAAACCTAACAGCAATCGCCAGCAATCTGTGTATATGACCTTCATGTTGTTACTGTTGGGTTTATTTTTCCATTCCCATCATTTTGCAGCTGCGATTCTTAGTGTCAGCCACAACAGCGTGTACAGCTTCTGACACGTTAAACAATAAAGGGGAAAGGTGCACCTCAGTCTATGGAAAGTGTAGCTTGTTTAAGTGCACCAGGAATTGTAGAAAATATGTCATTGGGTCTGAAAGTGTCAGGGCCAGTCTACACAGACCGAAAAATTACATGTTATGGCATTCCCAAGACTAACTCATGGTGATAGCAGTATCCACGGGCCCTGTGTTCATGCCCTGATGGGTCACAGGCTGGCCAAGTAACCGCTCAGGCACTGGGACCATGAGTGATCCCATACAGCTCTTGTTATTCTTTATAAACTGCATATACGAATGTCTTTCCCTGATCCTTTGGATCATTGCCAGCCATTTGGGTCAAGGCAAGCACACTGCAGTGGTGTTTTTTCAGCCTATCCTGTGGATAGACTCACTTGATTAACAGAATACAGAGCATCCCATGTAGGTCATCCATACCTAGAATGTGGAAATTGAACCAATTTAAAATGGCGTCTCTCTTTCAGTCTGTTTGTACCAGAAGAGCAGTGTATCACCAGACTGATGGGAAAGAAATGGGGGCGGGGTGGGGGGGGAGATCCGTACACAAATGGCAGGAAGGTGCTGGGGAAGGGCGGGTCAAATCCGCACGAGCCGTTTTACAGTGCGCCTCTTTCTACATTACAGTAGCCTCCCAGTTAAAGATCCTCATGTAGACAGTGCGTCTCCAGTATATCAGGCTGTACTTAAAACTCAGCACAAATCTGAAGACGAGCTTGATGATTGGAGTCGCCGTTCTTCCCAACTCCAGTCCAGGTCCTTCCGAATCCTGGCTCAGATGACAGGAACCGAGTACAGTAAGTCAGGCTGGGAAGCCCCAGTTCACACGTCTTTAACTTTGTTTCCTTCCCCACCTTTGCGTACCTGATGTTAGTAGATAGCCTCTCCTGCATTGTGCAGGGGGTTGGACTAGATGACCCTGGAGATCCCTTCCAACTCTGTGATTCTCCATGGTAGGTCGATCTCGTGGGAGCTTTAGAAAAGTCAAAGGTTGGCTGTATCGCAAGAGAAATCCTTTAACTGGATCTGTGCATCGGATCTTCAGTTGGAACTGCGGATCTGGTGGCAAGCTATAATAATTAAAGACAGTCCTGAAGCAGATTCTTTTATTAATATTTAAATTAATATAGTTTCTTACATGCACAAGAAAACCGGTGTAACTTCCAAAGAAGTCAAGTGATGGAGTTTCAGGCAAAAATGTGCATTCTGGTATAACAACACCGTTCTGTAAAATCCTCTCATGCCAGCCATAATTCCAGTTTTGGGTTTTTTTAGAGAGAGATGGATGATTAGATTACTAACAGCACAATACTAAACAGAGTCAGTGGGCTTACAGGTTTCAGATTGCACACTTAATAAGCTAACAGCAACAGCAAGAATTGTGAAGCAGAATGTCAACAGAAAAATTCAATTGACAAGTTAAAAGAATTTAGAATGCTCCAGCTACATCAAAACTAATTTAAAGTGCTTTTGGAAAGTAAGCGATAATAGAAATATTTTCTGTATTTCAATTCCGTATCATTCAAGTCATTGAGCCATTGACTAACCACAGGAGCAAGTTAGGATGTTCAGCCAGCCAATTCTTTGTGAAGCAATCTGCCATAAAACTTCAGTGCAATGACGTCGCACGGAAGTGACACCATCATGCCGGGCACATCGCGCAGCGCTCTAGCGTTTTGGCCAAAGCTCTGGTAACCATAGAGTTTTGACCAAAATGCTAGAGCATCACCATGTGACGTGCCTGGCATGATGACGTCGCTTCCGCATGATGCCATCACACCAACAACGTCGCTCGCAGTTACGTTGCCCCCCCCACTCTCAGAAGGCTCCCTCCTACCCCCTGCCAGCCGGGTAAGTAGACCTGGCAACCTTATTGTTACTACTTGTACACTTAACATACAGTTTATTTAATTATTTACTAATGATTAGATATATACCTGCACCATCATCTGCCAGACTTAGGACATACCAAGCAACCCCCCCCCCATTGTTAACGTGTGAACTCCACCCAGTCTTCTTGTATTTTTTTTGTCCTCTAATGGAGTCAATTTCTCACCTGCAGTGCAAGATCCAGACGAAGACGCCCTGAGGAGATCAAGGTAGGCACCTAGCAGCAAGCACTATGGCCTTCTCTTTCCAGATAACAAATACTTAGTGCTCTAAAACTAGCATTAATTTGAACAGTTCAAAATAAATTAGATTTTTGTTCTAATATGTTTACTCAAATCACTAAATAGAAAGCGCGGTTGGCTTAACAACTGGCAAGAAGCTCTAGGCTGATACACTGAGAAAGCAGCATCGTTCCTAATGGGCATACCCAGTCCTGTGACGTCTTTGCACAATGATTTCCCATTTGTTTCTGGTGGGACAACTTTGTGTGACAGACCTGTGGGACCAGCTTGCATGTGATTGCCCTACGTCTTATAGCTAGATAGAAATGAATAAGATGGCGTGGTTCAGTGTTGAGATTTTGATGAGCAATTTATTTGGATGGTTCTGTGATTGGCATTTGTTTCAATGGAGATGCACAGATGATAACGGTAAAGGAGTTGTTCCCAATGATATGAATAATAAAAAAAAACCCCTCACTTCATTTTGCTGATTACTATGTTGGGCCAAAAAAACAAAACAAAACCCAAACCCAGCAACAACCCAGCCAAAGTTTTATTTGGATTTGTTTCTTCTTATAACAATGCAGTATAAGCACACAGGACTGCTTTTGCTACTAGAGTAAAGTGTTTGTCTGCTTTTGATATTCAGGGCCTCAAATAGTCTTCTGCTGCAAGGCTATCGTGGTTGGCTAGTTTGAGTGGGCTCCTGACTTCGTGCTGTTACTTCATTTTAATGCTGGCTAGAAAAACCTGGACCTCAATCTCCCATCTCATTTAAACAGCTTGGTTTCCCTGAGTGTATTCTTACGAGCAAGGCCTTGGGTTTATGATCTGTCTGATACTTCTGTCGTGCCAGTGTTCCGGCTGTCTGCTGCGCTATTGACACCTCATCCCTGCGACTCTTCTATGTATATTCCTATTTCCTAGCCATTCCCCAACTTGTAATTTAAAAAATATACTTGCAGGTAAATATGGCTGCCATCCACTTCCCATTGCAAGCGACATGTTTATGCAACTTGGTTCCGATTATCTAGTTGAGCTTCAACTGTATTTCTGTACCGAATTGCTACCTAATTTCAGCAGAACCCTTAGAGACTGAAGATTTACAAGGCGTTTTCATTTAGGAATTCATGTGCATTCTACGTACACGTTGGGGAATTTCACATTACCCAGTTTCACCCGGTTTCAAGCCAGCAATCATCCGTTTTGAAGTGAACCGGTACAGGGCTGCCATTTCACACAGGGCTTGCCCCTACCGGAAATGAGCCGGATCAGAAGCGGTTTGGCATTTCAGACTTGCACCGCTTTGTTTTCCCGCCATTTTCCTCCCGCGCGGGTGATCGATTTTTTTAAAGAAATGTTCGATTTATAGCGCTATAGCAGTATAACAAAACACTCCATGCATTCCAATGGGATTGATATAATGCTATTCCGTTATACCGTTATAGCGCTATAGCGCTATAAATCGAACGTTCAAAAAAAAAACCAGCCGGAGATCGCCCGCACGGGCGAAAAAAGGTGGGAAAAAAGCGTATCGGAACCGGGAGAGGGCACTGGATACCACTTGGAAGTGGATGACAGGTAAAACGCTTCAGTCCCGGTTCCTAAACGGGACTGAAGCGTTTGTGTATGAAATGGCAAATAGATTCTGGAAGGGAACCGGTTCTCAAATGGGTTCTGTCTGAAATGAACTGGTTCCCTTCCGGAATCTATCACCTGTCTGAAATTCCCCGTTGTCACATATGACAGTCACACATGTGGAGGGTTTACTCTCTGTACCCTGTACTCTGTACTCTGTATCTGCACTCTGAAGTTGTAGATAACTCACATCCTTTAGATGTTTCTGCTGAATTATATTCCAGTTGTATTTAGCTATATCTAGCCCAGATCTAAAAGCTGGTTCACAGAAGATAGGACGAGTCTAAACCAGGTGGCAGCACATTCAACCTACGCTATCTTAGGCATTCAGGCTCCTGTTGCTGTTTTTTCGTGGAGAACCCAATGATCATAGCTGATCGGTTATTTTTACATACAATACATTGGATCCCGTCTACATTCCATGCATGGAAGTTCAGCTTCCCTCCCTACTCCCTCCTGCTGCCGTCTGAAATGCCCTCTCAAATGCTGCTCAGAGGGAACCCTCGGGGAATAGGATGAGGGGGGATCAACGGCTGCCTTGGTAGGGGGAATTGGCAGAAAGCACCCTTTCCCTTGTGCTTGGGGATCTTTTCCCAGAGGATCTAGCCCTGTATAATGGGCTTCTTTAACTGGTCACTGAGCCCTGCTATTTTTTCAGCTTTCCTCACCCAAGTCTGCAGACGTATTCATTCATAATTTAAACATGTTGGGTGGTAAAGGCAGAGTCTTGTGTCAGACTCTTCTAAAATATACTATCAAGAATATGGATTCTTTAAATTATATATGGCCGCCTTAGCCAGTGGCAAGGAAAGCAGTGGTTCTTCCCATTTTTCACTGTAGTTTCAGACTGAGGAACTATTCCAATGGCCATTTTTGAGGACAGTCTCCAAAAATATTTTTTTCCTTTATCGTTCATGTAGCAAAATGGTCTTGGAAAAACTTGGAAAACACTGTTAGTTACTATGTGATCATGAAATATGTATTGACTCCTGATGTGGTAAGCTGCAGTAGACCTAGGGTTGCCAACCCCCCCGGTTTGCCAGGGGTCCCCCGGTTTTTTGGGGGGTCTACCCGCTGCCGGCCAGATGGCCGGCGGGGGAAGCCCCACCTCCAACACCCACAGCCACCCATCTCTCTCCCTTTAAGTGTCTGCAACCCGTGTTTCCTCCCAAGCGCAAACTCTGCAAGCTTGCAGGGAAATGCCAGCTTCGTTCTTAAAAGGGAAACACAGCTGCTCTTAAAGGGGAAAGGCCGGCTGCCGGCTACTTTAAGTGCAGGGAACTGCCGTTTCTGGAGATCCGGTGCACGGGTGGGTGGGGAAGGCGGCAGACATCCCCAACATGACGTCATCATGTTGGGGATTCCCCACCCCCTCCAAGAACACCCCCAAAGTCCCCCGCTGGAGGTGGAAGATGAACTTGGCAACCCTAAGTAGACCCCCCCCAAAATAGTGCAAGGTTAATATCTCCTTAAAGAGGCTCTTCAAAATTGACCTTGGCATAAGCTAAACTATTGCAACATTTGACATACAAGTCATCAGAATTTCCATGCAGAAGAGGATTTGCTTGCTAGTGCAATACTGGGGTTTTTTTGGTGTCCCGTCTCCTCTGTGTTAAAACTTTGTGCTGTGTGGGAAATCGTAATGGCTGGATAAGGCTGTATTCAGCTCCCTATTTTCTTGTACTCTTCTATTTTTCAACACTTTTGGAGTTTTAGAGTACAAGTCCCTCTCAGACACACACACACACACACACATTACACTTTAATTCCCATCATTCTCAACAATTGATCACAATCAGGGCTGCCATTTTCCCACATGGTGATAAAGCAAAAACTAGGGATGGCGGTAGGGAGAATACAAAACAGAGAAAAATACTGAGTTTATAGGATGAAAATATCTCCTACAAAATGATTTCAAATATAGATGTCAGATTGTTGTATCAATTATAATAAAATCAGTTGTAATTCTCCAAATGAATAATAGTCTTATTCATATATGTTGAATCCAGTATTCTCATTTAAGCAGTACTAGGAATAATAAACAAATCCAATTCCTAGAGAAGTACACTAATAATACCAGAATTATAACTTGACAATATTAACAAAATATATAAGATCAAGAATAAGAATGTATAAATATAGTCTAGACAAGTCTTTCCCATTTCTGTCAATAATCTTCTTCAAGTCTTGAGATTATTGGCCAAAGGAGGTGGGTCTATAATAGAAGGGTGCGTTTACAAACAATTTTTACAATGTATTAAGCGTGTTTACTCAAAACAACTACAACTTACCAACACCTACATAAATTAGTATTGTAACCAAGCATGTACATCTACATTAAAAGTTTTCATATACAGAAGGTCTGAAATAAATGTAAAATTAAAGATTAATAGAAGAGGTGCTTACCCCTAATATTTGAAGATTTTATTGGAATCACCATTCAGAAGAAAACAATGGCAAAAGCCTGTCCTGAGTCATCACAATGGCTAAAGTTTCTTAATTGCGTAGAAGAAAGCACCAAATTTAAATGGATACAGACACTAATTAATATGAATTTAAAGAGGCAGACACCATATGTAGTTACAAAAATGATGGAAGATCTAAAGTTTAGTTTAATGCCAATGGAGCATAAGTTTGGAATCTATGAATCCAGTAAGCCTCACGCTGGAGTAAAATCTTAGAAATATCTCATTGGTTAAATGGATGGGGGTCTATGTTGGAAAATGACCACAAAACAGAGATCTTCTGGGGAATGTCTCATCTCTAAAAAATGAGATACTAATGGAGCCTCCAAGACTTTATGATGTATTTGGGACATATGATCCATGATGCAAACTTTTATGGGTCTGACACAAATGCCTATATAAAGGTCACGTGGACATTTTATTATTATGATCCCTAGTACTGCTTGAATGAAAATATTGGATCCAACATATATGAATAAGAATAATTTAAATAAATAATATGAATAATTTGGATAATTACAATTTATTTGTATTAGAATTAATGCAACAATAAGACATCTATATTTGAAAACGTTTTGTAGGATTTTTTTTTCATCCTATAAACATGGTGTTTTTCTCTATTTTGTATTTTCCCACAAGGGGATCCCCAATTCTCCCCTACCCACCCCCAATTTGTTTCGCACCACTGTTCCTGGAAAAAAATGTTTACAAAATATCATTGGCATCAGTGTGATGTCACTTCCTGTGGAAAACCAGAAGTAATGTCAATCTGCTCTAGCAATCACTGGAAAATCTGTGATTTTATTGGCAACAGTGTGATGTCACTTCCTGTGAAAAACCAAAAGTAATGTCAGTGTACTCTAGCAATCACTGGGAAATCTGTGA